ATGTTTTTCTTGATCTTGGAAGATAAGCTTCTGTTCAAGTTTCATAACAATCTATGAAAGTTTACAAATGTAGCAGGTGAAAAATATCTAATTCAAGACCATCAGCTAATTGCCCCAAAAAATGGTAAAATACTTCAAAGTCTTCTTCCACCAAAAACCGTGATAATGTCTGAAGAGAATGTGCCACATATCTATAAATACATGTTCTGATTAATCTTTTAGTTTTTACTTTGAAAAAAAAAAAAAAACATAAACCCTAGTATCTTTGATCTATTGGTAGTTGCTTTTTTAATGACTATCTGCTAGACTATCCATGGGGACATACCAGGGGCGGATCCAGCCATTTTTAAAAGGGGTTCAAACCCAGGATAAAAGGGGGGGGGGGGGGGGGGGGGGGTGGGGGGGGTTCCAACCAAATGTCCCATTTAAAAGCATTGATTGTCCAAAAGGGGGGTTTTCCAACCCCCAACCCCTGGATCCACCACTGCATACTATCTATATGTTTCAAATTTATTATACTAGTAGCTTTAGTTTTACTGTGAAATTGAAAAATGTTTTCAAGACATGTAAAGCTTCCACTGCAATTTAATTATTGCCTGCTTTTGGTCAATTTTTGTCATCTTACCATATAAAGAAGTGCATGATGTTAAAACACCGCTTTATATCAATAAACATACTTACACCAGCAGCTACCATCTTTTCATTCTGGAGTCGAGGGCTTTTTATAATCACATAATTTACAATGATACTAGTGAGTAGATTTACAAAACTTTGTCAATGAGCTCCATTTTACAACACCTGTGATACAAGTAGTCAGCCAAAATAAAGTATCAATAGAGCAATTAAAAGATTACTCGAGTTGTAAATATGTGCTAAATTGATTATATACCTTTTCATAGACTAACATAGACGAAGCGTGGAAACAAACATTAACATGATCTGTAACTCGTAACTCGTAATAAACTCACATACTAAAAATCAGCAGAGTGGAAATAAACATTTACATGATCTGCAACTCATCATAGTAGAACTGAAAATCAGCTCATTATGTGAAGGCATTTAAAAAACAAAAAAAAAGTCTGATTAACAGCTATTTTCATGAAATATTCGTAGTCCAAAGCACATTATTTCTGCACAAATCAGTGGTGCAGAATTTAATGTATATTCTGTAACTCTTCACTGTAGACTCACATACTAAACATCAGCTAAATATGTGAAGGCGTTTAGAAACTAGAGGGTCTAAAGAGCCTGTGTCGCTCATCTAGGTCTAAATGCATAATCAACAATGGACTCTATAAATCATTGTAGACAAGAATAAAATTCATGACCAAAAAATTTATCTTGTATAGCTGATCATTTTGTCTGTTTAGTTTCCCCGCTCTGTCTTCTTCAGTTTTCTGCTCAAAACACAAAAGAGGGTTAAAAAATCCTCATTTCAGAGCAATCACTCCTTTGAAAAGTGACAGTCGACTCACTATATCGACAAAATTTGACTTGTTTGTGGATCTTGCCTGGCTGATCATTTTTGTTATTCAAAGTCTCTATTTATCTTTTACAATTTAATTAATCATATAAGGCAAATACAAATAAATGTGGAATGTGTCCATGGGACACAGATGGTGCCCCCGGTTGCATATCATATAAAGATATAAAGGGACATAACTGAAGAACGGTAAAAGTGAGGCTACCCAAATTTGTACTTGATCTGAGTTTTGTGGTAATAAGCATTGTGTATAATTTTCAGAACATGTGGTTGAGGCAAACTAAAATTAGAGAAAGGAAACAAAAAATTCAGCAATTTTTATGATTATAAAGGAGCATAACTCAAGAACAGTAAAAGTGACGCCACCCAATTTTGAATTTGATCTGTATTATGTGGTAATAAACATTGTGTATAAGTTTCATTTACATTTGGTTGAGGCAAACTAAACTTAGAGAACGGAAACCAACTTTGGGACGTACGTACAGACAGACAAGGGTAAAACTTAATGCCCCCTCCGCCACAGCGAGGGCATAAAAAATTGAGAAAAAAAATTGTCATTAAAAGGCAATAACTCCAATAAGGAAACGTCAGAAAATTTCCTCCATATTGTATCAAATGCAGATCTTGTCTTTCTGATCATCTTTGCTTATTTAAGTTTCTATCAATCTATTATAATGTTAAAGATATGCGGCAAAATTGCCAAAAAATTGGTCAAAATTGTCATCAAAGGAAATGATAAAAAAAAATTCATTAAAGGGCAATAACTTCTATAATAATTCACCTGACAGTTTTGACATCATGGAACAATTGGTAGAGCTCAATATTCTGAACATTTTTGCCCCCCCCCCCCCCACGTCAGAATTCCTCTATTAAGAACAGTTTTTGGCCAGGTAAACTAAAAAGACTGTATAACCATCATCATTGTAGACTCACATACTTAACATCAGCTAAATATATGAAGGCATTTAGAAAAAAAAAGACTATCACAATTGTTTTCATGAATTTTTAACTTAAGTTTCAATTTTTCTAAAACAGAAAATGTATTCGAATTTCAATTATCTAGTCCATGCTTTGTGAAAACTTTTCCAGATACACAACTTTGACAGTAGTCAAAAGTAAATGTTTAGGTCAAAACACTAGCCATTTATTATACTTAAAATTCTAAGCTAAAGGGTACATTTTTTGCTTTACGTCCAGTGGCAAATATTTCATGCATATTCAGGACAAGAACAAATTAACAACAAATACAAAAAGTAAGTCCTGTAAGTGGATGTTCAGAAAGTAAGGTAAGGCCAAATAAAATAGTATGTGTGGTTCCATTTACATCTAAAAATAAGTAAGGGTAGGTACATGTAGGTAGGGATTTTTTTTTTATTTTATGTTGTTTTTTTTTTTTTACATCGGGCCTATGGGAGCAACATTCTGTCTTTCACGGTGCTTAATGAAACACAAGAGTGCACAGGCTGAAATGTCTCGCCTTCTTTACTAGTCGTTGATTTGATAGTCCTAATTATAAAGCTTTACACGATCCAAGAAAATGAGGTCAAGGTCAGATAAACCAAACAAGAAATACATGTACACCTAACAATCATTCAATACACTAAATATAGTTGACCTATTGCTTAGGGAGCTACCATTTGATTTTTATGGGAGGGCTAGGATGACAAATTTTGTCCTGCCTATTTATTTTCCCCTCTATTCGGTCCTGCCTTTTTAGTTTTCACTCTATTCGGTCCTGCCTTTTTTTTTTTAAGTTTATCCTGACTTTTTTTTTACATAAATTGTCATCCTGCCTTATTTTTTGTGCAAATAATCTCATCCTGCCTTTTTTTTTACTCAAAAATCCTGTCCTGCCTATTTTTTTCAAATTTCATCCTAGCCCCCCATAAAAATCAAATGGTAGCTCCCTTATAGTTTTTTTAAGAAACAGACTTAACCAAGAAAACTAAACATTGACCAATGAACCATGAAAATGAGGTCAAGGTCAGATGAACAATGCCAGACAGAGATGTACACCTTACAATCAATCTATGCATTAAATATAGTTGACCTATTGCTTATAGTATCTAAGAAACAAACTTAACCATGAAAACTTTAATAACATTGACCAATGAACCACCAAAATGAGGTCAAGGTCAGATGATACCTACCAGACAGACATATACAGCTTACAATTATTCTTTACAACAAATATAGTTGACCAATTGCTTATAGTTTAAGACCAAAACACAAAAACTTAACACTTTAATAGAAATGAAACATGAAAATGAGGTTAAGGTCAAATAAAACCTGCAAGACTGATATGTACATCATAAAATATTTCCATACACCAAATATAGTTGACCTATTGCATATAGTATTAGAAAAAAAGACAAAAACTCAAAAACTTAACTGACTACTGAACCATGAAAATGCGGTCAAGGTCTGCCGCCAGATCACTATCCCTATGTGGAGCTTTCTGCGACGCAGACTAGACAACAAAAAAAAACTTTAGATCTTTAGGGTAGGCTATTATTAAGACAAAAAGATAGGGTAGATAGGATAACTGGAACCACATATTTTTATTTGGCCTAAGGGAAATTCAGATTCCCACTGGAAAATGAGAGTATTCTGGCTAGGGAGAAAAATTTTGCCTTGCAACATGCATATGCCACCTATGGATCCCTTACAATTGTTACAATGCAGACTTAAAAATAGACTCAATGTTCTATAAAATTGTACACAAAGTTGTCTCAGTACCATCAGAAATACTTATACCATCAGACAATAGAACCCAACAAATTCATCCAAAAACCTACTTACATCTAAAGACTGTTACAAATAGACATTTTTTTCCTTTACAATAACACAATGGAGTTTACTACCTCCAAATGTAGAACTTTCCCCTACATTAATTATTTTTAGAGAACAGTTGATACCTACTGTTCTCTACAACATTAAACCCCCGGGGGAGGTCACTTCCTATAATTGGGTGCAACACAGTACATGTACACCCAATATGGGTCATAATTTTGCGAGATTTTATATAAAAATGACCCTCCTTTTCATTTATACTATATTCATGATATTAAAATTCATTTACGTTTGATAACTGTATATTGATTTGGGGGTATATATGATCTTCAGATCATATATAAATATGCTATTCGGAATCTTAAATTATCAAAGGTCAATATTATATATCAAATTAAACCAATTCATTTGAAAGTTCACCTTTCAAATAAGTTCCCAAATGAACCCCGGACATTTGTCTCCTGATTTGTATTTAAGTATTGGCTGGGACTATTATACTAATAGTATAATAGTCCCAGGTATTGGTCATTCTTTCTTAAATATTTATATTACTATAGGTACTGAATTTCAGTGAATGTTAATATTAAAATGGGTACGTTTTTTGAGGCAAAAATGGCATACCCCTACCAGAGACATACAATTGTATTATATATGTCTCTGCCCCTACCAAAAAAATATCGAAGTAATCCTCCCCGCCCAGGAAAGATTAAAGAAAAAAACCTACCTTATAGATGAAATTTTCAAAAAACGTAATATGTGTGAACAGTCGTTCAGTGTAACGTGTTAGCTAGAACATCAAAATGGATTCACCCGCATGAGTTGAAAAATTAGAACAATAAAAAATCCCGCCAATAGTAGCCAATAAAAAACAGAATGCATGTGGTGCAATGAACCGTAAAGGAAGGGGGTTTACCTTAATTAATTTATTTAATGGCAAAAAAATAACAAATAGAGAAAAATGTGCAAACATTATAAAGAATAGAGAATAGTGGAGTGCTAAAATATAAACTGAATAATTGGAAAAATTGGGAAAATTAAAGAAATGGAAAAAAAAAAATACCGATTACAGAAAAAACATGAATAACTGCAAAAATTAAAAAATTGGGTAAAAATATACTGATTACAGAAAACAGAGACATATTATGCAGAAAAGAACAAAGTCCAGAATACAGTTATCAATTAATTATAATTTTAAAGATAAAGAATAATGAGCGAATGATTAAAAAAATGAGCGAAGAATACAGACATGACAGAATGAAGGACCTGACTTATTCAGTGGCGGATCAGGAAATTTTCATAAGGGGAGCACCCGACTGCCTAACAGGGGACCCGGTCCAGTCATGCTTCAGTGATTCCCTATATAGTCAACCAAATTTTTTTCCACAAAAGGGTGTGGGGGGGGGGGGGGGGTGGCGGACCCCCGATCGGAGTCCTCCTCTAAGTCCGTCTCTGTTATCAATACCCTTGTAAAGGCTACTTTTTACAGTTAAACAAAAATTATCAAAAACACGAGATTAATATTGGAGAAGTGCTTCGAAATATCATAAACTTACACCAGCTTTTGTTTACTAGAAAAGACTGCGTTTTTTTTTTCTTTCTTTTATTACCACTATTTATTAAATTTCGGTTAATTTTATTTGGGCTTCTGTCGGATTTACCGAGTTAATTGTGACCGTAAATTATAAAGACTCGAATTAAGCATGTATTTAGTTGCTCCATCCTGGGAATACTTCAAATAACCTATTATGAGCCAAGTGCAACTTCTGATAAAAAAAAATAGTTGAACTTTTTAAAAGGCAAGGAGAAAGAATATATTTTGTCCGCAGCAACACCAAAAATATCAGAAGTTTCATAAAGATAAAACAGTTATAGCGTTTGTTGAACTTGTTGAACTTGTTGAACTTTTATATTTCATCACAGGGTTGTCACAAAAGAAACAAATATTAAAAAAGAATAAGAGATAAATTAGTCCTAATAAATGTGTCTGGGCGGACAAATATTACCATTATAAAATGTCCATGGTTAAAGAATTTACTAGTATATTTAGTCATGAGTCCGATGTCAGTAATTTATGTCCCAGACAAATTTTCATAAGAATTCATGTTCAGGTCATCAATATTTCAAGGTAAAAACGTCCATGTCCTTTATTTTACTTAGAAAATGTGAAATTCAAGAAATCATTTACATGTTAACAATGGACTTTTCAATTCTTATGTTTTATGTTCTGTAACAGTTGTGCATTAATCTTTTAATCAGTCAGGATTCGACTTCGTCAAAAAAATATCTCCCAATATAGCAATGAGAACTTTGGCACTGAAACTCTGGTGAAAACTAACTGTTTAGACTCTGGAACTAGCGATGAATAAACCAATAATTCAGCATGGAATACTAATACTTTTATTACAGATGGACTGTTTTCAGTGTAAAGTCCTGAGTCCAAATCTTGCTTATAAAAATTATAAACAAGTATTTATACACAATTGAATTCACAAGTATAGACATAACAAATAACAATTAATTAATTTGAGTAATATTGTTCACTGACAAGGATTAAACTATTTTTAGAACTTGAAGAATAAAGTTAATTTACTAATCTGATTATGATATTTTAAAAATATAAAATAATGAAAAAGGTATAATGTCACTAATTAGCTAATAGAATAAAACATGTCACTCAATGTCCAAACTGAGAATTAAATTGCATATCAAAGCATGTTGATTTTAAGTCCTGGATATTAAATGTAAATAGAAACGAAAATATAAAATTAAATGAATTTTAAAACACATAGAAATAAAGTCTCATTATCAAAATTGAGAATTTTATATTAAAGTCCAAAATATTAAACTGAAGCTGCATTTTCCCTGGTCACAATTACGCCAGCCAATTTGTACAATCGTAAAAATGGAAGCCATTATAGGGATGACGCGCTGTCAATTTAGTTCTTGAAAACCGACAAATTTATCCACATAGCGCCATAACGACCCTTACATGCAAGTTGTATTTTAAAAGACATGTGTATCTCTATTAGCTTTTGAGCATCATTTAATGTACTTCTGCATTTAGTCAACTTAAAAATTATTGTCTAATCGGTTGTCAGGTGTTACTTTCGAAAGTTCGAAAACATTTTAAAAACTTCTAATTAAATATTTCGTGGAAGGGCAGACTAAATATTTTCAAAGGTTGAAGACTAATAACTTTAGATAACCCACACATAAAATAAAGTTTTTATTGAAGTCATGCATTTCAAAGACCCACGTGAAAAGTCTGTCGTCAAGTACTTTTAGCAAAAATTTGTTATTTGAACACACCTACTCTGCTTTTATGACTCATCGGAAAGGTATTTCACTTGACCCACATATTTCATTTTTAGTACTGTGATTTTTCAATGATATTAAATCAACCTGTAGCCTAAAATATAAAACTAATAGAATATGATGCGAGATCATGTATCAAATATATTTGCTTTCTAAGTTTTCAAGACAGAATGGTAAACTCAAACACGCCTGAACAAAGAAAGGTGCACTCGACTTTCTCTTTTTTGATGAAATTTTTGCTCCTTTTTTGGATTTTTTTTTTAAAAACTGCCGGGGGCAGAGATGCAAATAAAGGATGTATTCTTCTGTTGTTTCGGTCACGTTGAAATCTCTTTCGGGATTTCTTTTCCAAAACATGTGATAAAAGTGGAAAATATCAATGAATTTTAAAAAATATTATAATCAAACTGAACTATGTGGCTTTGAACTAGCTGTCAGTAACTGCGAGTACTCTCAGATCTGTACTTAGTGTCTTTTTGTTGTTGGGATGTACAAGTACCCGGCCACGTCCACTTCTATTTGTAGTATTTGTATTTTTATCCATCTGATTAGTTAAGCCTCTTTCAACTGATTTTTATAGTTCGTTCTTATGTTGTAATGTTTCACCAAAGTCCCAGGTTAGGGGGAGGGATGGGATCCCGCTAACATGTTTAACCCCGCCACATTCTGTATGTATGTGCCTGTCCCAAGTCAGGAGCCTGTAATTCAGTGGTTGTCGTTTGTTTACGTGTTACATATTTGTTATTCGTTCATTTTTTGTACATAAATTAGGCCGTTAGTTTTCTCGTTTGAATTGTTTTACATCGTCATTTCGGGGCCTTTAATAGCTGACTGTGCGGTATGGTCTTGCTCATTGTTGAAGGCCGTACGATGACCTATAGTTTTTAATTTCTGTGTCATTTGGTCTCTTGTGGAGAGTTGTCTCATTGGCAATCATACCACATCTTCTTTTTTATATGTGAAAAAATTGTGTACTAACAATAAGTAGTTTTTGAGATATATATTTTTTTAGTTTTAATAAGCAATCCGGTCAGTGCAATCATCCAAAATGTTGAAAAATTGGTGAATTGTACAAAGAAGTGTTTTTACCAAAATTATGTACATCCCATGTCATTTTTTTCTTTTCAATTTCTTAGATATGTATTTTTCAATCATTCATTGCAAAGAAGTTGATATAATATGCTTTTTAGTAAAAAAAATCCTAAATTTTAAAAATTTACAGCATGACCAGTCAATTTGACACGAAAAAGCAACAACATTTATAAACTTTCTTATATTAACACGATCTATAATTCGTTTTTTAAAGCTAGATTATTCAGATTGGTCCACTACGTCTTTTATAGTCAAATAATGAACAAGAGTTTAATTTTATAACTTTGATATTTTTTTCATGATAATAGCCCAAAAATGGGGTATTTCAAATGGCCGAAGCAAAATAAGAAGTGCACCACCATATGATCTTTTCCTTCATCTATTACTTTTTTACAGTAACATAAATAAAAAAATCCGATAAAGAAAATAGTTTAATTCTAGAAATGTTTGGCTCCTCAGCAGAGGAGGGGCGACTGCCTTAGGTGCTATGTGCAAATTTTTGTAGGTCACGTGGTGCGATTTTAGCGTCCCTCGACAATTTTGAATATGGAAAAGATCGATTTGTTCATGTTTTCAAATATAGAGTGCATTTCTTTCTAACACAAACGATGCAAACGGCTAAGCGCGCACATGTTTTGATCATTTGTTTCTAGCATATGTTTGCAAAGTTTACATAAACTTTGACAAACTATGCACTCGCTAAAAATGCGTCTACAGTTTGTCGTTCATCGTTTGTTAGTACAAACGCTACATTTGTTTCTAACTTCAACCTGATTAAACGATGTACTTGTTTCTACGTTTGCAAAATGTCTTTTTACCAACAACATGTGCATGCATTATTGGAAGTTCAAACAGGGTCAGTAAACACTGATTTAACGATGTATTTGTTTCTACTTTTGTAGCGTTTAGAAAACAACAACAAACGCCACACAACGTTTACAAAATTTTGGTTAGAAAGAAATGCACTCATACTCTCTTGCACTCGCTGAAAATATAGAAAGTTTTGAAATAAAAACATTAATCAATGATAGAAGATCACTTTATATGAAATATTTTCTTTGTGTTTTTTATCTTTAAAGTAAATTCTATCAATAAAGAAATGCACTGTAATGGCGGGAAATTTTATTCGATCTCTGCGAAATCACGAGGCACAGATTTTTGTAAATTTTACAAATGTCAGCACGTGAAAATCATTCAAATTTTAGTCAATCAAAGAACACTATTCGAACATTCTAAATCTTCTTAAGTCTCATTAAGTCTCCAGCCGTTGCTTCGTAATAAGTCGCTAAAATATGATTTCCGGTAAGTAAAATATTGAAAAATATTTGTCAAATCCGCGAGTAATTATGTTATTTTAGGCATATAAACTCTTATGTATTTTAATTATTTTGAAAACAAAATGAAAATTTTGTC